CAGTTGGGGTCGAGATTCCACGGTGCTCGGACCACGTCGTCGCAGGAGCCCGACCACGCCAGGCGCAGGCCTCAGACAAATCTCTCTCTCTCTCTCAGCCCTCGAGTCTGGATGACAGAAGAGGCAGCCGCCCCCGGTCCATGGTGCGGTCCTTCACGATGCCTTCCTCCTCCCGGCCTCTGTCCGTGGCCTCGGTTTCTTCCCTCTCCTCCGACAGCACCCCGTCCAGGCCGGGCTCCGATGGGTGAGTCGGACTCAGAGCAGGGAGCGTGGGAAAGGGGGCGGCTCGGGGGTCTTATGAGGACCAGGACCCTGGGGTTGTTTTATCACAACTGGGGATGGTTTCAAAGAACTATCTTCGAAACTGAGAGCCTCCAGGACTTTGTGACTGTAGTGCCCGACATTGCTTTCAGGGTCTTGCGAGTTGCTGAGAAGGAAGTCCTCACTTTGGGTACCACTTTGGGTAAGGTTTCCATCCAATCGTAAAGCCCCTGGGGACTGTTTGGCCTCGGCACATCCCTGCTCACGTCCAGGGCTCCTGCCAGGTGAGGGCTGGCGTGGTCTGAGCACAGTGCGACCTCCACCGTCCACCGCGGGTGCTGTCCCTGCTGAGCGACCGTCACACATAGTCAGGCCTAACTGAGGGCTGTCTGGGCCCTCTTTTTTGTGTGTGTGAGCATATTTTCTATTTATTTTTTTTTCCCCCGGTGAGGTTTATTTCCTTTTAAAGGGAAATGCTGTTTCAGTTGAATACTTCTGAGAATGACCATCTGTCCCATACTTTCTGTGACCACCCTGGAAAATATGAGGCTTATTATCCCTTTTTGTTTTCCTTCAACTTTTTTTTATTGTGGTAAAATACACATAACATGGAATTTATCATCGTAACCATTTGCAAGTGCACAGTTCAGTGGCATTCAGCACATTCACGTTGTTGTGTATCCATCACCACCGTCCATCTCCTGAGCTCTTTCCATCTTGTAAAACTGAAACTCTGCACCCATTGAATAAGAGCCCCCCCCACCTCCTCGCAGCCCCCAACAACAGCCACCCTACTTTCTGTCTCTAAGATTCTGGCTACCCTAAGTACCTCACGTAAGTAGAGTCACAGCCCCCTCGTCCTGCAAGACCACTTGGAGACGACCCGTTTTTGCTCCCAAGTACCTGGTAGCACAAAGCAATTAAGAGGGAAACAAGAACCTACTAGTTAGATTCGTTATCTAAAATTCATTGAGCACTCACTGTGGCTCTTTCATTAACACAGATTATTGCAAGAAGAACCTCAGTATTGATATTTTTTCATTTTCAAATGGCAAGCATGTAAAGTTTGTTCTTATTATACAACAAGGAAATATGTTGCATGTAATTTAAGCATCAGGGAAGAACTTCTAATTGTTTACTGTTGAGTTTGCACAGTTGTGTGTTTGTCCCATCTCATTTGGCTTACAATCCATCACCCTATCAGACCCGCAGGCTCCTGGCCCCTTCAGCATGCAGACACAAACTTCTAGAGACCCCCAAGGGATCGCTGAACTCTGAGTGCCTTTTGTTGCCAGCAACTGATGTGTTCAATGGAGACTTGCAACGTTTTTTTCTTAACTGTAATTTTTATCAGTGTCTGATACTTATGAGGCCAAGTCCATATGGAAATTCTCAGTTTAGAGGTATTTAAATCATATATGCTTGTCACTTAGCATGAGATTGCTAAGGAAATTTAATTCATCTTCTCCCCAAGAAAATCCTCAGGCTAGTTATGAAAGGTTTTTATACTTCTAAGAACACAGGGGTTAGGGTAGAAATTGATGGAGAGTTTTAGATAGAAGAGTGGTAGACCGCACATGCGAATACACGAGCTTGGCCTGTCAGCTCCTCTCCAGGAGGCGTTTGTTTAACCTTTAACTAGAACGCATCTTTATTAGAGTCCAGATTTTTGTTCATTCTTGGGGTTACCACCCTTCCCTGTCTAACTAATGTGGAGTAAATGAAGCTCTGGTCTCAAATGGCATTGGTTGACATGCAGAATAAGGCTCATCCTGTTGTCAGTTCCTTCTCATAAGTGAAAAATATAAAACTCAGCCTGTCTTTCTCTTGGTTCTTCGTATACTCATCAGGATTTTAAAGCACAGGTCCTCTCCTCTGCCCACCTTAATTGTCTCAAGTGCTGCAACACCTAGAATAAAATCACGAAGATTTTTGGTTGTTGCTTATAATAGATATAATATTTAATATCTAATGGATGTTGATTTGCTGGTTAACGTTTGAGGATACTTCAAAAAGTTCATGGAAAAATAGAGTTAAAAGATAACACATATCTTCCCACAGACTTCTTGAAGTATCCTCGTATATCCAGTTGGAAAAATCCAGGTATCTCAAAATGCCTTCATGATCAAAGTCAATACTAGTATATTTTATCAATCATTTTCTGTTTTTTAAACTTCTTACCATAGAAAATGTCAGACACACACACACAGTGTGGAGAATGGTCTAGTGAGGCTCTGTGTCCCGTCAGCCGTCTCAGTCAACCGTGAGCAGCTCTTAGCCAATCTGGTTTCCATCTGTGTCCCACCTACTGATTCCCCCGTATTACATTTTCCAGCAAATCTCAGACATCATATTTTACCACAGAGATTTCAATATAAATTTCTAAAAGGTAAGAACGCTTTTTTAGAAAACATACCTATATTACTTTATTATCACACATAAAATACTAACGGGAATTCCATATTATCATAATATACTAGTGTTCATTTCCCAATGTCATAAATCCTTTTTTTTTGTCTTTTTTACTGACCGGTAACGGGATCGCAACCCTCGGTGTCGCGCCCGTACCGGGGACTGGCAACGGGATCGCAACCCTCGGTGTTGCGCCCGCACTGCGCTCAGCCAGTGAGCGGGAACGATCTCCACATGGGATCCAACCCCTCGGCAGGAGCGCTGCCGCACTCCCAAGCGGCGCACTATCCAGTGCGCCACTGGGCTGGCCCTGCTTTTTTCTTTTTTTTTACAATTTGTTTGAAACAAGATCCAGACAAGATTCTCACTTTGCACTTGGTTGATATTATCTCTGTCTCTTTTAATCCACTTTTTTTTCCTTTTCTTTTCCTTTGTGACTGATTTGTTGAAAAGCCTAGGTTGCTTATCCTGTCCTGTTCCCTGCAGTCTGGATTTTGCTGACTGCCTGCCCTGTAGGGTCGTGTGACATGTGCCTCTGGCCTCCACATCTCCTGCATAGTGCGAGTTACAGTTAGAAGTTTGATCAGATTCAAGTTTGATTTGGGGACAAGACCACTTCGCAGGTTCTTCGTAGGTCCATAGTATGTTCTTTCATTCAGAGGCACGTCAAAGCTGGTTATCTCTCCTTTAGGGTTGTTAACAGCTATTGCTAATCAATGCTTAGATTCAATACCATTACTGTTTAAGTAGCACAAGTCCCTGAACAACAGATCCTGCTGCACAGCCACGTTGGACAGGGAGAAGCAAGAAGTAGGAAAGTGGTTCTTGCTCTCAGCATGTGCATCTTTAGTGGGTTTTAGATGCAGTTTGGTGAATGATCCTTCCCTTCCTGGTCCATATAAGTGTTGATTTCCATGCTACCTGTCCTGTACTGCGGAGCAAGTTTGCTGTAATGCCTTAATCAGAGCAGGGGGTTAGAGTAGAGCACAGCCTTGTAACCCCAATGTCACGAGTTCAGATCCCAGCCACCAAAAGTCAAAAAAAATCGGAGCAGTGGTTTTGTTCCAAATATCCCATTTAGAAGTACGTTTAAGAGAAACCACAACTGGGAGGAAATGTGACTGTCTTTCTAGATTTTCTTCTCTTGAAATCACTCTCCCCTTGAGGGAGCCAGTTTACTCTCCAGGTGCTCAGGGATGTCAGGCCTGGGGGTTGCCGTGAGGGCTGGGAGCTCCCAAGGGCAGGGTGGGCCCAGCTCAGCCACCTGGCTTGGGGACTGCCTGGACACTGGGCAGCTCAGGGGCAGGCAGCTTCTGTGAACCCTCTTGGTTTCCTATTTTTCATCTTTTGACTGTATGGAACTGATGTGGAGACCACAGCTTAAAAGATGCTTTTATAAGAAATCACAATACAGGTTTTTTCTCCTGAGTAGCTAAGACTGTAACTCCTTTTAAGAGACCATATCTCTTTTCAAATACCGTTTTCCTGTGCTATACTTAGAAAACATAAAATCCTAATAGCAGCAGTACTTTACGTGTGAGTTCTGCCGGAAGGTTTTAAGGTGTGTTCCTGGCTTCATTCATGCCGGCCTCTCTCCTAGCTTTTCCTTACAGCAGGAGCTGCAGGAGAGATTCCTGTCTCAGAGCGGGACCCATTTCATTTTCTGAGGTGACTCACTAGGACGAGAAACGAGGAGCATATACCATCCTGTGTTAAAGTAGCAAACTAGTCCAACCTCCGTTTACTCAGTAGTCTAACCATGAACATGTTTCACACCAGCTGTTTGGTGGCAGTAGGCAGAACGGTGGCGGTGTCCTCATTACGTTTTGTAAATGAGACCGTCAAGCTCCCAGAGATTAAGAGGACATTGAGGGTCACTAGCACGTGGCATAGCTGGAGCCCAGCTCTGTGTCTAGCTCAGTTCTCGGCCGAAAACCTGAAAGCATCTCCAGGTACCTGTGAGCTGGCATCGGCTTGCTTCTGACTGAGCCGTCCCAGGGGCTCCCACATGGAAGCAACCGATGTATCTGTCGTCAGAGAAACTTGGTGAGAATTAGGGTACCAGAAATTTCTTCGTGTTGGCATCTGCCTATTTTGCCCCAGTGCGTTTGTGAGTATTTCAATGTAAGTCTATAAAAGGCGAGACCTCCCCTTTTGATATATATCCAAAATACCATCCTACCATTGTAAGTCAACAGTAATTCCTTAGTGCCGTCTTCAGAGGTCCGGTCAGACTTCACATGTGCCATACTGTCCTGTCTTTCCCCAGCTTGTCTATATTGGGATCCAAACACAGTCCTTACAGTCACTGCTATGTATCTGAAGTCCCCCTCCACCCAATTCCCTTGTTAAATCATTCCTTTCCTTATAAAAGTCACCGAGCGTAGATGGATTGTGAGTGGCTCTACACATACCTGCAGGGTGAAAAGCAATTAATCTCTTATTAAGACGCCATTGACTTACAGAACCGTTTCCTTTAGGTTTGCGTTGGAGCCTCTCCTGCCAAAGAAAATGCACTCCAGGTCCCAGGACAAGCTGGACAAGGATGACCTGGATAAGGACAAGAAGGACAAGAAGAAGGAGAAAAGGAACAGCAAGCACCAGGAGATATTTGAGAAGGAATTTAAAGCGGCCGACGCTCCCCTGCAGCAGGCTGAGGCTGTGATCCTTTCGGAAACGGTAACTTACCGGGGATGGTCCCCTCACTCTGCACAAGGTCCTGGGACCTACATGTGCTGCACATTTAGTCAGTGGGGCTGTCAATTGGATTTGGCCGAGTGTGCTGTTACATGGTTACTTGAAAACCCGGGCTCCCCTCAACCCCACCCAAGTGGCCCGACGCTGTAGAGCAATCGGAGTTGCAGGCAAACTTTGCTTTTCTCTGGAGGACACTAGTCTTCCTTCGTCCTCCCTTCCAAAGGGGCACAGCCAGCAGGGCTGCACAATTCCAGGCTCTCTGCAGCTCTCTTGCACTTGGTTCCCATGTACGTGCCAACATCTCGGAAGACGCTCAGGAATGCTTTTGTTGTCAGGAAAGAGTCCTCCACGTCAGCGGGAGCCCTTCCTGCATTCTTTCCTGAAATCTCTGAGCCACAGTCACTGCCCAAGTGCTGTAATCCTCTCACCTGGAATCCAAAAGCCCCTTCCCCCCGGGTTCCACCAGCTGGACTCGGTCCTGTGCAACCCTTCCCTGCCTCATCTCCTCCGCGTTTACGTCTGGCAGCCACCTTTCAGAAGGACCTAGGGGGACTTAACATGCCACGTGCTGGTGAGTCAACGTTAAAAGCGGGCCCCAGCGAATCTCGGTCACTTCTCAGTCCTGGGCAGGTAGCGGTCACGGAATTGTGGAGCACGCTGTCATCCTGGGGCTGGGCCTGGCGGCTGATCCCCCCAGAAGCGCACAGCAGGGTTTGGGAGTGCAAAATGAGGCACAGACTGCTTCTGGGGTGAACTTGATTCAGAAAGTGCTAGTTGTAGACTGGAAACAAAGGTAGAGGAGGTTCTCACAGGCTGTCAGCTTTAAAGGGGAGTCAGGTGCAGAGCCGCTGCTGCCTTCGCTAGAAACGATGGACGTTGCTTGTGCGGTGGCCAAGAGTGACAGCCCACGACCAGCCGGCGCCATCATGGCTCTGATTAAGGGCTGCTTGATCAAAGGGCTCAGATGGGACCACCTTTTAATGACACACTTCATTGCTTGTTTGTATCTGAAAGCAGAGGGTACATTCCATACGGACTGTGTGCCACTCAGACAGTGGTCACATGTCGCCTGGTTGTCTGGAGGTGGGAGGCAGATGCCAGAGCCATGTCGTGGTCTTCAAGGAGGCCTTTGGACGTGTGCTGGGACTGCAGCTGGCCCATAATGTTTCAGGGCAGTCTGAGGGTGGCCCAGAGAAAGCCCTGGCCAGAGGCTGGAGATCAGTGCCCAGGCGCTGGGCCTCAAGCAGTGGGATTAAGAGGCTTCTGATGAGCCGACTCCCCTTCTCTGTCCCGTTCCGGGAAGATGAGATGCCAGCAACCCCTGCAGGGCCAGTCGAGAGCTCCTCTCAAGCCTCAAGTAGTTCTCAAGTCTCAAAGCATCATAACTGGGTGGGGGAATTAAGCAATTTAGAATATTCACTAAGTGCCAGACACCAGGCAAGTCTTTCGTACATTTTAATTTAAGCCCCATTTTAATATGTTTAAACAGAGGGCCTCAGAGAAGTTGCATCAAGTGGCAGACTTGATCACAACTGAGTTGTGTGAAAAGAAGTCCAAGGACATAGCAGGTTCTGAGCCATTCCAGTACAATATCTATCCTTCCCAGTGGTGGCCCAGTGTCCCTGCAAAGACACCTGCAAAAGACAGGGCCGGACATAGCACCATGTGGGCTTCCTTAGAGCCGGTCCCTGGTGCCCTCAGCAAATCCACAGGAAGTCACCAAAGTCGGAGCACAGAACCTTGACGTCACCGTCAGCATCTGACCACGTCTCAGACTGACCACAGCTGCAGCACCAAGAGGCCAGGAATCCTGACCTCCTACTTGGTCCAGCCCAGCTACCTGTCTGTCCACAAAGGGGCCTCCTTCAGGGGATGGTGCTGGCCAAGTCCGTGAGGACAGAGTCAGGCACCTGGAGTTTCCTACACAGGCCACCCCATGTGCCTGTGACCAGCCACTTGCCACAGGGCAGAGCAGGTGGGTGAGAGGGCCAGGGAGAGGTGTTCACTGCAGCAGAAGCAGCAGCCCATTCCCTGGGGGCAACATCAGTGCCTCCTAGTGTCCCCTAGGCCTACTGGCCTTACCGTTGCTGCCCTACCCCCACCGGCCTATGGGAGTATCTGCAGAGGTTTCCCCTCTCCCCGTGTGGGGCTGGTTCAGCTGCCAGCTTCATTTGCATCATCCACAATTTCATGACCTTTAGCTGAGCCTCTCTGAGCTGGGGCCTGCAGCTGCAATTTGCATCTCACTGGGAAAGCCTCCTTTTGCGCTCTGAATGGGAGTGTACCTAGTAGGGGATGCGCAGGGAGGGATGGGAGATGTACCTAAATGGTCCCTGAGTCCTTATTGCCACCTGCCTGTATGCACACTTATCCTCAGAGGGCCCAACACTTAACCAGGTATGCCCAGATTTCCCACAGCAGCTGGGCTGCTAGAACCCAGCCCTTTCTGCAGATGCCTGAGTGCCAGGATCCCCCCATCAGCGCAGGATAATTCTGGAAGCAGGCCGGTTGGCTATGAGCCTGTATCATTCACCCATCAGAGGGCCTAAACCTGCCTCCCAAGCCAGGCTCTCATCTCCTCCTCCCAGTCTTAGTAGCCTCCAGACTGGCCCTGGCTTTGGAGACTACTGTAGGGCAGACGCCGCAGCCACCTGCTCTGTTGCAGCCAAACCAGCACGGCCCACCCACCAGGCCCAGAAATCCCTAACCCTGGAGCTGCCGTCCACCTGCCCTTTCTAGGGGGACATCTCAGCTCCTCCTTTGTGGCTGCGTTAATTTCTAATTACTGCTACCTCAATTTTGTAAGTGCTTGTGTTCCCCAAGTCCTAATGATCTGAGACCAGGTTGTAAGTAATAAATAAACAAAATTTACTGGTGTAACAAACATAGGGAAAACGTCAAGTGCATCCAAAGAGAAGAGCAGGAAAAAAGCAGTGAGAAGCAGAGGAAAAGATTCCTGCCTGGTAATGACGTAGCATGAGAGGAGAAGCAAGGGAAAGGAATGAAGGAAATCCTTCAGCAAGATTCTAGACTTTCACATACACGCCAAGGAAGACCAGAATATTAAGAGAAGGCCTGGGGAGTTCTGGGAGCTGAGCAGGTTATTTATTATGTTCTGGACCCTTCAGAGGCTCCCTGTGTTCTCACTGACATGCGGATGGCTTNTCTGTCCCGTTCCGGGAAGATGAGATGCCAGCAACCCCTGCAGGGCCAGTCGAGAGCTCCTTCTCTCAAGCCCCAAGTAGTTCTCAAGTCTCAAAGCATCATAACTGGGTGGGGGAATTAAGCAATTTTGAATATTCACTAAGTGCCAGACACCAGGCAAGTCTTTCATACATTTTAATTTAAGCCCCATTTTAAGATGTTAAAACAGAGGGCCTCAGAGAAGTTGCATCAAGTGGCAGACTTGATCACAACTGAGTTGTGTGAAAAGAAGTCGAAGGACATAGCAGGTTCTGAGCCATTCCAGTACAATTTCTGTCCCTCCCAGTGGTGGCCCAGTGTCCCTGCAAAGACACCTGCAAAAGACAGGGCCGGGCATAGCACCATGTCGGCTTCCCTACAGCCCGTCCCTGGTGCCCTCAGCAAATCCACAGGAAGTCACCAAAGTCGGAGCACAGAACCTTGACATCACCGTCAGCATCTGACCACATCTCAGATTGACCACAGCTGCAGCACCAAGAGGCCAGGAATCCTGACCTCCTACTTGGTCCAGCCCAGCTCCCTGTCTGTCCACAAAGGGGCCTCCTTCAGGGGATGGTGCTTGCCAAGTCCGTGAGGACAGAGTCAGGCACCTGGAGTTTCCTACACAGGCCACCCCATGTGCCTGTGACCAGCCACTTGCCACAGGGCAGAGCAGGTGGGTGAGAGGGCCAGGGAGAGGTGTTCACTGCAGCAGAAGCAGCAGCCCATTCCCTGGGGGCAACATCAGTGCCTCCTAGTGTCCCCTAGGCCTCCTGGCCTTACCGTTGCTGCCCTACCCCCACCGGCCTATGGGAGTATCTGCAGAGGTTTCCCCTCTCCCCGTGTGGGGCTGGTTCAGCTGCCAGCTTCATTTGCATCATCCACAATTTCATGACCTTTAGCTGAGCCTCTCTGAGCTGGGGCCTGCAGCTGCAATTTGCATCTCACTGGGAAAGCCTCCTTTTGCGCTCTGAATGGGAGTGTACCTAGTAGGGGATGCGCAGGGAGGGATGGGAGATGTACCTAAATGGTCCCTGAGTCCTTATTGCCACCTGCCTGTATGCACACTTATCCTCAGAGGGCCCAACACTTAACCAGGTATGCCCAGATTTCCCACAGCAGCTGGGCTGCTAGAACCCAGCCCTTTCTGCAGATGCCTGAGTGCCAGGATCCCCCCATCAGCGCAGGATAATTCTGGAAGCAGGCCGGTTGGCTATGAGCCTGTATCATTCACCCATCAGAGGGCCTAAACCTGCCTCCCAAGCCAGGCTCTCATCTCCTCCTCCCAGTCTTAGTAGCCTCCAGACTGGCCCTGGCTTTGGAGACTACTGTAGGGCAGACGCCGCAGCCACCTGCTCTGTTGCAGCCAAACCAGCACGGCCCACCCACCAGGCCCAGAAATCCCTAACCCTGGAGCTGCCGTCCACCTGCCCTTTCTAGGGGGACATCTCAGCTCCTCCTTTGTGGCTGCGTTAATTTCTAATTACTGCTACCTCAATTTTGTAAGTGCTTGTGTTCCCCAAGTCCTAATGATCTGAGACCAGGTTGTAAGTAATAAATAAACAAAATTTACTGGTGTAACAAACATAGGGAAAACGTCAAGTGCATCCAAAGAGAAGAGCAGGAAAAAAGCAGTGAGAAGCAGAGGAAAAGATTCCTGCCTGGTAATGACGTAGCATGAGAGGAGAAGCAAGGGAAAGGAATGAAGGAAATCCTTCAGCAAGATTCTAGACTTTCACATACACGCCAAGGAAGACCAGAATATTAAGAGAAGGCCTGGGGAGTTCTGGGAGCTGAGCAGGTTATTTATTATGTTCTGGACCCTTCAGAGGCTCCCTGTGTTCTCACTGACATGCGGATGGCTTGCAACAGTGCTCTGCCATTCTGCATTTATGTTCAGGAAACCTGCAACGTGCTGTCCGCCCCCCACTGTGTGAACAGATTGTTGTGAGACCCTGTGTTAGTGGGGTACTGCCGCTGCTGTAGCCAAGAACCACACACTCACTCGATGGCTTAAACAACAGGAATGCATCCTCGGTTCTCAGAGCTGGAAGTCCACGTTCAAGGGGTTGGCAGGGTTGCTTCCTTCCAGGCTGTGACGGAGAGTCTGTTCCATGCCATCTCTGAGCTTCTGGCGGTTTGCCAGCGATCTCTGGTGTTTCTTGGCTCATAAGAGCATGACCGTGACCTCTGCTTTTATCTTCAAGTGATGATCTTCCTGTGTGCGTGTCTGTGTGCAAATTTCCCTTTTTTATAAAGATATCTGTCATATTGGATTAGGGCCCCCTAATGACCTCATCTTAACTTGATCATCTGCGAATACCCTCTTTCCACATAAGGTCACATTCCGAGGGGTTAAGGCTTCAACATATGAATTTCAGAGGAGACATGACTCAGCCCTTAACAGATCCTAACTGTGCTCTTTCTGTCCCTCCAATGTAGATAAGTCCCCTGCGTCCCCAGAGACCGAAGAGCCAGGTGATCAATGTCATTGGAAGTGAAAGGCGCTTCTCGGTGTCCCCATCGTCACCGTCCTCCCAGCAAACACCCCCTCCGGTCACGCCGCGGGCCAAGCTCAGCTTCAGTTTGCAGTCCAGTAAGTGGAACGTTTTCCACGTTTGCATTCACAGCGCTGTCCCGTGACTTCCCCTCTGATGGAAGCCTCTAAAGTTAGAACCACATCCTCCGCTTGCAGCAGATCAAGAGAGTTTGGATAAGCACCTGACTCGATGGGAGTGTCCCCCAGACAGGCTGTGGAGTCTGCATTTAGGGTCTGCCATAAATCCAGAATGATTTTGTCTGCAGATCCTGAATTGATTACATCTGCTAAGACCTGAACTAATTACATCTGTAAGGACCCTGTTTCCAAATAAGGTCACATTCTGAGGTTCTGAGTGGCCTTCAGAGGTCCAAAGTTTGGAGGGACACCATACAACCCACAGCAAGTGGTAACCAGCTTTTCACCACTAAATTCAGACCCATCAGAGAGGAGAAATCTTGGGAGGAGGAAGGAGGTAGGGAGTGAGGGCGGCAGCAGAACAGGGGAGCCCAGTCTCCTTCCTGTGGCCAGAGGGAGGGGTCCGAGCAGTAGGGCACCGTGCCCTGTGAGTGGGCTGTGCCAGGCATTGGACGGTCGTCCTTTGCACTGGATTTTCTCCTTGCTGGAGGGGGAGCGGTAGTGGTTGTGCAGAATGTCAGATGATGGAGTCTGTGGCTGCAGGAGAGGATGGATGGAGCTGGATGGAGTAAGCAGAGTGTCCTGGGGGCTGGGCAGGCGTGGTCTCTGGGCAGTGCCTCTCCACATCCTTATACTAGAGCTACATGATCTAAAAATATTTCTTAAATTTAAAAAAAATATTTAAAACAGGCATCATTGCTGCTGTGGCAGAAAACAGTTTGGTGACTCCTCAAAAATTAAACATAGAATCATCTATGATATAGCAGTTCTATTCCTAGGTCTGTTGCCCAAAGAATTGAAAACGGACTCAAACAGATTCTCATATGTGAATGTTCACAGCAGCGTTACTCACAAGAGCCAAAAGGTGGAATAAGCCTGTCACAACAGGACAAATATATCACGTGATTGCACTTATATGAAATATCTGGAACAGGCAAATTCATACAGACAGAAAGTAACATAGAGGTTAGCGGGGGCTGGAGGGAGAGAGAGGTGTGGAGTTACCACTGCCTGGGTACAGACTTCCTGTTTTAGGTGATGAAAATGTTTTGAAAATAGATTGTACACTTTCTGTGTAATCAACGCCACCAAATTGTACACTAAAAGATGGTTAAAGTGGCAAATTTGATGTCATGTATATTTTATTCCAATAAATCAAAAACACAGGGACCAGTCACGAGGACAGTCACCAGCAGAGGCCGTCTTCTCTGCTCCCCTGGATTCTATGGCAACACTTCCATGTAAACTGACGCAACCCACTTCCTAGGAAGCAACTTCCTAATGAGCAATTTTTCATCAGATGGATCATTGGGGAAAACTCCAAAAGAGACCAATCCATCAATAAAAATGCCAATTTTCCTCTCTTTAATATAAAAGAAAACAAGTTATTTCTAAGACTCTCAACAAGGGTTGAGAAAATTTCCTGCCTTAATGATTATCCCTCCATTTGACAACCGCTACTTTTTCAGTTTACTTGAAAAACCAATTGTACCTCCCCTTGGCTTACTTGAAGCAACGGCCACAGTGACTGCAGCTACTGACTTCATTTCATACAATTGTGGGTTTTCCCGTGGAGAGTGGCTGGAGAGGCAGCGGCTGCTGTTTGGTTATGTTATTAGACTTCGTTCAGTGAAGCTCTCCAGGTGATAACTGCAGACGCTGACCACAGACCCCGGTTGGGCTTTGAGAGCAGCAGTGGACAGTCCCGTCACCCCCAGCTGCTCAGATGCCGTGGAGGCAGAGGGGTCCCAGGAGGGGATCAGAAGAGGCCAGGTTGACATTGCTGTTTTTCCAGTGGATTGATGCCTCCTTTTAAGTTGTTGCTTTGCCCCCCATGGATTTGTCACCCCACTTCCCCTGGGTGACGGAGCCACAAAGGATTACTCAAAGCCCATCTCTTCTGAGCAGTGAGAAGCTCTGAAGTGGTTAACTTCCCCAGAACCCTCCAGCGAGAGGCATCCCTTCCTTGGGAAAATTAACCCCGAATTGGGTTCTCTTCCTGCATTTATTTTCCAGACCAGGAAGTTACAGGAAGAGAATATAGGTGGGGTTATAGTTTAACAATATAGGCTGGTAACTTTCAGTGAAACAAGCCAGATGACATGCCAGTGGACAATTAAGTGGTCCTATCAACAAAACCTTGATCTTAGCAAACATTCCTTCTTACTGCAATTTCTCAGTATCTTTACAATTCAATCAGTAACTAGTCTGTCCTTGAGCCAGCAACCTGCTGTGACACAAATCTTTATCTTACACCAGAGACTTTATAGCCTGAGGAAAATTTCCAGTCCTCCGCAAGGTCAATATTTGAAACTGCAAGGCTTTAGAAAACCAGGCCCTGTGAAATACATTTGCTTTAAGAGTCCTCTACATTAAGTTCTGGATGTAGTTTGCATATGATATTTGCTATTCTCTTTCTAGAACATTGCTATTAGGAGGGGATCCCATGTTCTCTGCTCCTCCCTGCCACTTGGAGAGAGAACACTGAGCAGCTGTGATGTGAGCAGTCTGGCTCTGTGAGGATGTTGGTCTGATTTTAAGCAGATCCCATTTTCCAGGTTTCGAGCTGAACGGCATGACTGGGATGGATGTGGCTGACGTTCCGCCCCCTCTGCCTCTCAAAGGCAGCATGGGAGATTATGGGAATTTGATGGAAAACCAGGACTTGATCAGCTCGCCACCCCCTCCGCCCCCTCCTCCACACCAGAGGGTAAGTGGGGAATCAGGAGCATGGGTCTTTAATTGTTTGCCATCCACAAAGTAGGGATACCTTATTCCAGATGTTAGCGGGTTTCCTTTGGGCCAGTGAGCGCATGAGAAAAAGCATATGATGGCTTAGATTTGATTTTGACAAAAGATGTCAAAGTGGTATGTAAGACCTATGGTTCTGCATGATTATCAATAACTGCATCAAAAAGCACATTTTAGTATTGTGCTTCGGAACAAGGAAGAGAGGGGTAAAAGTTCCAAATGGTTGCCATCGCCACAGAGGTCATTCCAGTAGAGGTGCAATTCCTGTGAAAGTTTGATTTTGAGAAGTAGCTTTTTTTTTTTTTTTTTTAAAGTTGGCCACTATTGCCCCAATTTGTCAGTATGCTCCTGCTAGACACACTCAGCCCTTGAGCGGCTCATATCCAAGCAGTTCCCCAGGTGGCATCGCCCTCCTGCTGGCAGCTCCTGGGTGGTGACTGGCACTGGCTGCACAGAGAATCTGCAAGGAAAGCCAGGTTTGGCTTTCAGACTGGGCATGGCCACCCACCTTGCTGTGCTGCCAGCCCTGAGAGCCCTCCCTGTTTGGCTTTGGGGTGCTGGCCTCATAAGTGTGAATAACCAGCTCATGTCCCTCTTCAGCACAGTCCCAGGGCTTGGACCCCTTTGGAAATTCTGTTGTGCTCATTAATCCTGGCTGTTAATACAGGTCTCTGGGCCTGCCTGCTAAAGCAAATATTAGCTAAAAGTTGTAGAAAGCCATTTAAACCAGCAGACAGCCTCTGTTATCAGTGGACAGTTCTAGAAACATTCCTTTTAGGTGCACCACGTTCCTCTCCTAGTTCTCCAGGCTGTCAATCACGCTTGCGGGCCGAGGTCACCATGCGTGGGGATGAGGCACATGTATGGTCTACTCAGTGGCGGGCACATCCGTTCGCAGGTTCATCAGTCCCCAGGCCACACTATTCACAGCCTTGGGAAATTAAAGCAGTGCAGTCTGAAGGGTAAAATCTCCTGCTCCTGTTCATGCAGCTGGTCACATCTGTTGCTGTCCAGCCTCTGTAAAGTAATGACAAGGCCACAGCACTCCTGTAGAGCATCGGAGATGTGAGGCTATTGGGTGACGTGGCTTTTTCCTAACAGTGAGGCACGGTTTTTTCCCCTTGATAAACAATATAAATTCTACATGCCGTTTCTTTTTATTTTTTTTTTCCTTTTTCTTTTTTATGGAGACTTTCACTGAGTGCTTTGCAAGGTTATCATCATTGGGTGACGTGGCTTTTTCCTAACAGTGAGGCACGGTTTTTTCCCCTTGATAAACAATATAAATTCTACATGCCGTTTCTTTTTATTTTTTTTTTTCCTTTTTCTTTTTTATGGAGACTTTCACTGAGTGCTTTGCAAGGTTATCATCTCTCTTATGAGAGAAGTGAGAGAGCGAGCGGTTATTCACAGTGTATGTACTTGATTATTTCTTTTTTATAAGAAAACTGAACAAGCAGTGGGACTCCTCATATTGAAAGGACAGATTGCTCTTCTGAGCTGCAGTGCCATTTAGGCAGGCACCCTGTCCCCAGAGACGCCGCAGTGGGGAACAGGCCCTGGAGAAGGGACCAGGCTACCCTCTGGGCTCTCCAGGAGGCTGAAGTGGTTCGTTGCAGTACAGAAATGTCACCCTGGCGTCCCCAGGCACTTTTGACTACATGTTAGGATGAAAGGAGACTCAGGGAGTCCAGCGAGAACACTGGGTTGGCTGGGCTTTTGTTTTCCTAATGATTTAATCAATCATATCTTTATTTTCATGTCTTTATTTTATTGGAAAAGTAGGAATGTTCCCCAAGTCTCCCTATTCTTACAAGTGTTCTGAAGATTCTGAACTGGAAAAGATGACCAGTTCCATTTTTGTTACAGATCAACTCGGGGGTAACATTTAATTGTCTCCGTTTCTTAAATACATCATTCTTAGTTACAGATGCCGTGTGTGGTTGATTAAGTAAAGGACTAACATGCACTCACTTTGGCTCGATTTAAGTAGGGAGTTTGGATTCAATTAGATTCATGACCCAAGTCTCTCTGCTATTTGTTGCTCGTTTAATTTGCTTGCAGCACGAGAGTGTGTTCAGGGGGCACGCTTGGGGTCAGCGTGTCAGAATTAATTGGAAGCACGTGCGTTTCCGGGGGTGCCTCCCTTTGCACTGGCCCTGAGAGTGGTTTTAGGATAATGATCATTTGTCTGCCATGGGGGATGATCGATATCCTCTAGTCACTCTTATTGATTGACCCCAAGCTTGTAGGCAACTCTTTCTCCAGTTGTTGCCGCTTTAAGCTGTCATTTCTTTCAAAATGGCTCTTAGGACCAGTAATCTGAGCTATCATTTTGCTTAATGGTGATAAGCCTGACCTTCTCGTATTGCCACCAAGAGCACCTGTAACATTGTGTTTGTATCAGACCGTGCTAGTCTGACCCTCGAGTTAGGTTGGCTCAGCGAGGTGGCTCATCAGTGTGGCTTTCCTATGTGAACAAGCAATTTTATCAGACCTCGAAATAGGTGTTTCTTTTAACTATTCTTACCAACCTTGAAAAGACTTACAAGCCTATTATTTTACTTTCCTTTTTATAATGTCTAAATATCATGATATCACTTCTGTTTTTCTCATTTATTCTCCTTTCCATGTTAAGCACTAGGTCATTTTTGTATTTACTTGCCTGTGAATCAGGAGGAAATTTGGGAGTGAGTGAGAGACGACTGCGTCACTGTTCTGTCCTTGAAACTTCTTTTCTCACATTCAGCTAAATGCAAACCTGCACTGAGAAGCTGGTAAAAATCTCCTACCGTGGAGCTGGATATTTTCATTTCGGTTCGTTCTCCCTCCGGTGTGCTCATCTTTCCCCGATCCATTTGCTCAGTCTTTTGTTTACTTATTCATTTTTTTCATTTATTCGCTCAGGTATTTGTTCACTCATTTATTCACCTGCTTGGTCCACCCCTATCTCCAGAACATCTACTGCTCATCAGGTGTCTGTGATGGGCACAAGGGCACCAAAAGCCACAAAAGGCCACGCTTTCATTCACACCCCAGCAGGCCCACTAAGCAGAGGTTTTTCCTGTCGTCTTTGCAGTTGTAAATTCATGTTCTTTCTTGAAATTTAAGGCAATCTATGGCCCATGGTTTAAATCCAGCCAGCCACCTGTCTTTGTAAATAAGTTTTACTGAAACACTGCTACACCAGTTCTTTGCAGATTGTCTGTGGCTGTTCCGGTTGCAACAGCAGAATTGAGGAGCCACAACCGAGACCATGTGGCCTGCAAAGCTGAAAGTATTTACTATCTGCCCTTTTCCAGGAAAAGTGTGCTGACCTTTGCTCTCAGTTCAGAAGGCAAGGGAGGGAGGGTCTCTCATCTCACCACTGCAGAGCGTCTCCAAGGACATGCCTGTCCCTTGGACAATAAATCAATAGCTAGATCAATAGCACTTGGATTTAAAACAGCCGTGCAGAGCGGTGGTTGTACTTCTCAGGGGCTGTGCAGAGTTTGCGAAAAGTGCTCAGATGTCGGAAGGGTCTGTGGCTGCTGGCAGCCCAATCTTGAGTGTAGCAGACCTGCCAGACCCAAGTCAGACAGAATGGAGCCCAAGTCACGCTGAGAGGGCAATTTTGGCCCAGGGTCTGCAGCTTAACTTTCCATCACGGCTGCCGTGCCAGGTGGGATCCACCTGGAGCCTGTCTTTCCCGACAGAGCATCAGTTATGTGACGTCTTCCTGGTACTCATGTCTTCTAGCACCTGCCACCTCCACTGCCCAGCAAAACTCCGCCTCCTCCCCCTCCAAAGACGACTCGCAAGCAGACCTCGGTGGACTCTGGGATTGTGCAGTGAAAGCAGCAAGACTCTGGAAAGAGCAGTCTGTCGTCTCTCCTCGTCACCCACACCGCCCTGTGCATCTGCTCTTTGCCTCGTCGGGTCTGTGATGTCTAACATTCAGTGCAGTTGCTTTCCCTTCAAAGATGCTCGTTTCTAGCCACGTTGTAAGCGGTCTTTAGCATCATGGAGCAAGGTGGGTGTGGGTCTGCGATGCATTGTTGTGTTTATCAAAGTCGGGGGCCTTGGACCTGTGATGTCTAACATTCAGTGCAGTTGCTTTCCCTTCAAAGATGCTCGTTTCTAGCCACGTTGTAAGCGGTCTTTAGCATCACGGAGCAAGGTGGGTGTGGGTCTGCGATGCATTGTTGTGTTTATCAAAGTCGGGGGCCTTGGAGGGTGTCAGCTTTTGAGAGAGCCTAAGTCTTGCCCAACATCCTTTCTTTTTGTGTCAAATGATTTGTATTAGCAAAGAGCTCAACTGATCTGAGTTTAGCCAGGTAGGGGAAGTTAAAACATCACCCTTGAGATGCTGTGTTGTAATGAGGTGTACGATTCTCATATTCTCTCTACAGGCCAAAACCCTGGCCCACTCTCATGGCATGCTTTAGCAACTCCCTCCTTGTTGCAGCTGGATGTTTTGTTGGTTGAGTGTATCTTCAACCTACATCAGGCCATTAAGTTCAATCCATTCAGGGAAGTTTCTGAATTCCCTTGGTATAATTTAAAATAGTATATTTCTCAGCTACTGAACAGTTACTAATTTATGGAGTGGAAAAACCATTAGGAATACTGGATCAAACTGAAAAATAAACATGAATATAGGAAGATAAATTTTCATCCTTTTTTTTAAAGGAATATGTATACCATAAGAGATAGTTTTAATTGGGTGAGTTGTTTTTGTCCTCATTCTGTATAGAAATCTGTATATATGATGGTTCTTAGGACTTGTTTTAATTTTTGTGGTCTTTACGTTTATTGTAATAGGCATCTGCAAATGATTCTCAATATGTGTTCCTAATTTTTAACTTCTGGAAATGTAAAAACAACAACAAATGAAATTTTTTTTTCAGCACTCCAACGTCCTGAAAATATTGGTGGACAATGACTTTTTTAAAAAACTAACTTTGTATAACCTAATATTTGTATTCTATCATCTATATTTTTTTATTCACTATAATCACGATACTCTCCCAGTAGGTTCAAAAGTTAATCATTGACAATGAAAAATAAAATGTTATTTAAAAAGACTCACAACATCTGACATGTTTTCATCCTTTAATGTAAAAGGCAAATGCTGCTGTTTCTGTTGAGCTTTCTTAAGGAGCTTTGTGATGCACATTTATATATGTACATGTCTTCCTCAAACACAGTTTTGAATCACCTCTGTTTAATTGTCTCTGATTTGGAGCCCAGATAGGAAGCATCCCTGTCCCTAGGTGTGTCTGCATGTCCTGACAGACCAGAGCAGAGCTCCTGGTGAAGCTTTATAATTCCATATCAGTAGCAAAAAACTTTCTTATTAATTTTTATATCTATGTAGTATTCTATTACATGGCTTTACCATTTAAAAACTAGATCCCTTTCAAGGATTCTTAATTCATTTCCAACCTATACCATTACAAACAATTTTACAAGAATAACCTATGTCATTTTGCACATGTGGGAGTACTGCTATAAAAATTTGCTAGAAATAAAATTGCTGGGTCAAAGGGCAATACATTTTGTTTTGATAAATATTGACAAATTGCCCTCCACAGAGACTGACCATCAGCAATTTTTAAGAGTGTCCATTTCCAGGGCTGGCCGGTTAGCTCAGTTGGTTAGAGCACAGCCTTATAATGCCAAGGTCATGGGTTCAGGTCCCTTTATTGGCCAGCTGCCATAAAGAAAAAGAAAAAATGTTTACAAGAGTGTCTATTTCAATACACAAACACGAACCTCGGTATGTTATCAAACATTTTGATCGTTACCAATCTGAAAGATAAGTAAACGTTATCTCAGTGTAATTTGCATTTGCATTTCTTATTGTGAGTGAAGTTTTTCATTTCATTGTAAGTGAACATTTTCACATATTAAAGAGACATTTGTGATTTATTTTCCACTAACTCTTCGTATATCTTCCTATTTATCTATTGCTATTATTTTGAACAGACTGTTACCTGTTACATCAATTAAGCATAAGAAAAATAAAAGTTTTCACTTTATGTTCTCTTGTGCATTCTCCAATGCTCTTCTTTTCTGACCTATACTATTTTCCTTCTCTCTTTTTTTTTATTTTTAAAGATGACCAGTAAGGGGATCTTAACCCTTGACTTGGTGTTGTCAGCACCACACTCTCCCAAGTGAGCCATGGGCCGGCCCTCCATTTTCCTTCTCTCTAAAGAACTTTTTAAAAATATTTCCTGCAAGTCAGGTTTCCTGGCAACAAATTCCTTCAATTTCTGTTTGTCTGAGAAAGTCTTTATTATGGTTTTTTCTCTCAATGTTTTAAAATATTTTACTCCACTCTCTTCTTGCTGGCATGGTTTCTGGGAAGTTGGATGTAATTCTTATCTTTGCTCCTCTATAGGTAAGGTGTTTTTTCCCCTCTGGCTTCTTTCAGGATTTTTCCTTTATCTTTAATTGACTGTAGTTCAAAAATTATATACCTAGGAGTAGTTCTTTGGCATTTATTCTGCTTGGTGTTGTCTTAGCTTCCTGGATCTGTGGTTTGGTGTCTAACATTAATTTAGGGAAATTCTCAGTCATTATTGTTTCAAATATTTCTTCTGTTCCTTTTTTCTCTTTCTTCTCCTTCTGCAATTCCCATTATACATATGAAAGTGGAACAACACCTTTTATAGTTGATTCACAGTTCTTGGATATTCTGTTCTATATTTTCAGTCTCCTTTCTGTTTGCTTTTCAGATATGGAGGTTCCTATTGAGATATTTTTCAGCTCAGAGCTTCTTTCCTTAGCCATATCCACTCCACTAATGAGCCTATCAAAGGCATTCTTCATTTCTGTTACAGTGTTTTTGATCTCTAGCATTTGTTTTGGATTCTTAGAATTTCCATCACTCTGGTTACATTGCCCATTTGTTCTTTTTTTTTTACAAAAGATGACCAGTAAGGGGATCTTAACCCTTGGCTTGGTGTTCTCAGCACCACACTCTCCCATGAGAGCTAACCAGCCATCCCTATATAGGGATCCAAACCAGTGGCCTTGGTGTTGTCAGCACCACACTCTCCCAAGTGAGCCATGGGCCGGCCCTGCCCAGTTAATTAACACTAATGCAGGTGCTGCTGTGAAGGTGTTTTGTNGTTGCTCCCGCGCCTCGCTCAGCCAGTGAGCGGGAACCGGTCTGTATGTGGGATCCGAACCCTCGGACGGGAGCGCTGCCGCGCTTCCCAAGCGGCGCACTATCCAGTGCGCCACCGGGCCGGCCCATAAGAGACAGTTTTAATTGGGTGAGTTGTTTTTGTCCTCATTCTGTATAGAAATCTGTATATATGATGGTTCTTAGAACTTGTTTTAATTTTTGTGGTCTTTACGTTTATTGTAATAGGCATCTGCAAATGATTCTCAATATGTGTTCTTAATTTTTAACTTCTGGAAATGTAAAAACAACAACAAATGAAATTTTTTTTCAGCACTCCAACGTCCTGAAAATATTGGTGGACAATGACTTTTTTAAAAAACTAACTTTGTATAACCTAATATTTGTATTCTGTCATCTATATTTTTTTATTCACTATAATCATGATACTCTCCCAGTAGGTTCAAAAGTTAATCATTGACAATGAAAAATAAAATGTTATTTAAAAAGACTCACAGCATCCAACATGTTTTCATCCTTTAATGTAAAAGGCAAATGCTGCTGTTTCTGTTGAGCTTTCTTAAGGAGCTTTGTGATGCACATTTATATATGTACATGTCTTCCTCAAACACAGTTTTGAATCACCTCTGTTTAATTGTCTCTGATTTGGAGCCCAGATAGGAAGCATCCCTGTCCCTAGGTGTGTCTGCATGTCCTGACAGACCAGAGCAGAGCTCCTGGTGAAGCTTTCTGCCCTTACCTGACCGACGACTCTCTGGCTGCACAGCATTTCTGCCTCCTTTTAAGTTGCTGATTTGAGAGAGGGCTTTTTTAGTGGGCTGTGTGATTTAATTTGAGAGTCATCCAGACTTCAGAGCTTTCTCTGGGGCTTAGCAGGCTGGATCTGAGGTGGCAAGAAACAAGGAAGACCATGGGATCAGTGTTAGGGGTCTCAGCTCTGATCTTTGCACCGTGTTTGAATCATAAGCACTTATGTAGCCCCTCTGTCCGTCTCACCAGACCTGCAAGGAGACTGCTGCAAAACCCCAGAAGTTTGGAGGGTCTTTCTCTTGCTGCAGAGCTGTTCCTCAGTTTATCCATACTTGTAAATATTCAGTCCACCCCCAAAAAACTGCAGACACGTGTGAATATGGATTTTTTTCTTGGTAAATCCTTACTCTTTCACCAAGATAATTATTCATCCTCTGTTGAGTATGTTAGAAACTGGATATTTTCCACAATTCTAAAAATAACCAAATTGGCACACCAATCTGGGAAGGTGTAGAGTCTAGCCCCTGCAATGGGTCATTTTTGGGTAGTCAGCATTTCACTTTGCACATGTGGCTGCCAGAAACTGTAAGAATAGTTCCTGGCCCTGCAGAAAATGGTAGTTTTGTTGTAAAATGGCTTCTGGGATTCTAGTTTTCCTCTGATCTCCCAGGATAAACCTCACACTACACGACCCCAGCTGGAATCCCCACCCCACAGTCCCCTATAACTATGCTTCCCACACGGGCCTCTAGAGCGGGCAAGTCCGCGGGCCACACTGAACAGAGTTAGGGAGGGAAAAACAAAGACAACCAAAATGCTGCAGAAATTTCCTAACGTAAATTATAAATATGCTGATATAATCACAAACACATAAACTCAAATTCTTTATGAAGACACAAAATTTCCTCACCTTTTAGATCGAGGGACAGACTGCAAAACAATAATCAAGGAAAAACTGCTCCCTAGCCCATCAAGCATCTTCTGGATACACTCCTTCTGCAGCGAGGGTCCAGAGGGAAGGCTGACCTTTCTAGATGCAGTGATGTATTTATTCCTTTTACTCAGAAACAGTGTTTCTCAA